TTCCTGCTAGAATAAAATGCCAGTTGGTACTGCAACCCAGCATATGTTATACATTTTTATACTTCACAGGCTATTTCTCAGTTACACCAGTCTGAGGTTCTTGGCAGCCGATTGACAGTAGAGTACGCTAAACCTCATCATGAACACCTTGCAGCTCAACAGTGTAGCAGGTAAATTTGTGCTTTTTGGAATTTCTGTGTTGTATTAAGTTACAGTCATGATAATATATAGAACACCCTCCCACCAGCAGACACACTTTGACCTGATCCACCAAAACTTGTCCTTGTAAAATCCAGCAAAACAAATAGCTGCAAAAATATCTCACCTTCAGACTTACAGAAACTCACCTTGTATCCCTTGTAATTGAAAATTAATTCTTGGTCAGAATGATTTTAGGCTGATTTGATTTGCATTTTCCTTTTAATCTTTTCACTTTTATCATGACTGTGGTTAAACAAAGAAAAATATACAGAAAACTGGCATGAATTTAACGTATTGGTGTATGATAGTCTCCTTAGCTCTCCTCTCTGTTATTCAATAATTTGAAAAAATTTGGCAATCAGCTTTTTGTCCTTTTTGTTCTTTTGCTTGATTAAACTAAAAACAAATTTTAAAAAATTAAAGCTCTCTGCAAAAACTTCAGGTACAGTGTATATCCCAAAAAAGTTTTTCAGCATAGGACAAAAAGCAGCCAAAGTGCAAAATTTAACTCTTGTAAAATTTTGGTGCCTCACAGTATGATGTTGTCTGAATCAAAGAGGTTATAAGTAATATATATGGCACTGTCTTTGTGTCATTATAATGATCATGATGAAATAAAACAAAGGGAAGGGTAAGTGAATCTTTTGTGGAAAATAAATGAATACTATGGAAACTGCAAACTACTTTATCCTCTCAAACTTGTAAATTGAATATTGCTAGATACAAACTTAACCCTTTACACCCTAACATCAGAATGCATATTCTCCGTACTGTTCTCTATACATTCCTAATGTGCTGATAGGAAGAATTTGTCTAACAATCAAGAGGTTCTTTAGTTGATTATTATTTCCTTTCTTGTCTTGACCTTAATGTGTGATTCAAATTATCATTTCCTTTCTTGTCTTGACCTTAATGTGTGATTCAGGGGTGTTATTGTAAGGAGAATTGAGATGCTTGTCACTCTTAGGCGTTAAAGGGTTAAACTGTTTTATTGACTGTGTAATTTTAAGGGTCTCCCCTTCAATAGCACTGGATGAAAACAAAAATGATGACAAAGAAACAAGAAAATTGGAGACAGAACAAGCTGGTAGCAAAGTTAAAGTGAAGTCTGGTGACACACAAGGCATGGCACCAAGTTTAGGGTATGACAAACCTAGTAAATATTATGCTAATCAGAATTTCTCAGTCACTATTGTTTGATTGTTGGTTCAGTAGTAATCAGTGATGAATTTGCCTTGTTCCCAACATGTGGCTGTAATTTAACTTAGTTGGTAGCAAGACCCAACTGGTATGTTAGAGGCACGGATTCAAATCCTGTCCAAGCCTAAATTTTACTGTAGGCTTCATTTTTGCAATTGCCAATTAAAAATTGCAGCTCAGCTGCTAAGATAATGGCTTAAATATTTGATTTACATGTTAATTAAACCTTTTTTTTCTTATTGATGTTACAAATGTATATGTCTCTGCATGATTGTTGGTACACAAACAGTTTGGCTTTCATTTGTACAGAATAAGCGACAGAGGTGAAATTTAAAGTTTTATGCTTTAGTAGCTAGGACAACAGAGATAAAAGCAATGAATGCAACCTGTCAAGGCTGATATATTGTTTACAGTCACCTTTTCACTTTTTGACACTTAAATGGTCATCTGTAATTTTTTTTTTCATTTGATTGTCAATTTTCGAACAAAAACGATAATGGAAGATAGCCTAGGGAGCCATTATGTCCAAAGTTATTAGTGATCATTAATCTGAACCAATCCTGAATATATAAAAAAAAGGCCATTAAGAGTAATTGTATTTATGTTTTTATGGATGATCCTTTTGTTGGTTTTTATCATAACCAGGAACTCTCTTTAGGTTATTTAAGATGCACGTACGTGTCTGGCTTCTAATTACTAGTCTATTATCAATTCCTGTATGTTTAATTCATGGAGGATACTGTTCCAGACATATTGTTTAAAATAATTTCCATTTGGTGTGCTCTTTTTTTCAAATAATATTTTTATTCTCTTAGTTTTCATGAAAGCTCTCTCGTCAAAAAGCACAATTTATTTTTTTTAAATGTTTCTGAACAAAGACTTCACTAGTAAGTTTTTTTCACTTTATTTTATAGACCTTTTGTCAAAATTCTTTTTGATTATTGATGCAGACATTAGTTTGTTAGAATGATTTATATTTAGTATCGTAGATTTTTTTAAAGTTGATATTGATAAATTGCAGAGGCTTTTAAGCATTAAAACTATACTTCTTACATGTGTATGTGAAAGTTGGTATGCTTTTGTCAAATGACAGTCATTATTACCTTTTTTTTTACTTTTTTTGGAGCTATTAATTAAACCTAAATGTTCGTGTTTCACACTTTCTTATTTAAGCTAAATTTTTCTTCCTGATTGTATGGAGGGAAATCATAGACTTAGTATTCAATGTTGTGGTACAAATATAGATTTGAATATATTTTTTTGAACATGATTTCAGTGTCTAGAAATTCAGTTTGAATTATTAAATTGATGTTTCATTATTACGAGCTGAGCGGGCTTGTTTGATGTGCCTTGGCTTTAAAGTATTTTAAAATAACTAAATTATAGTTCTTTTGTTCCAGAATTAAGTACAATTGCAACCCAAGTCTTCACTATGTCTACCCTCCAGTAAACACTGCAATTCTCACCAACATCGCCCACACATTGGCATGTGTTCCAAAATTTTATGTCCAGGTATGAGTATCAAATTATACTGTAAGCTACATTTGATTGGTTCTTTGTTATGAAGTAATGAGGGACAAAGTGTTTTTTTCTTTGATGTATAAAACAAATAGATTCTATGTTTTCATGGGTCTGTTCATTAAAATTTCACAGAAAGTGTCAATGTGGCAAGAACAGCTGCAGTAACACATCTCTTTTGTTCTTAAAACAATTGAGCATCATCTGTAACCTATTATTGAATAGAGGCACAGCAGCATGCAATCTATTTCTTAACCTTTTAGTGCCCAAGATCTCATGAGTAATTCTCCTTACTGTCTGCCATACAATTCTTATGATGCTAGTTCTGAGAATTTGGTTCTGGATCTATTAGAAAATCCTCAAACTTATATTTTTCTCTATTCTCATCACCTGCCTGCTTGATATTGTATTGATATTGTAAGGAGAAATTCTGTCTGGTCACTTGTGGGAGTTAAAGGGTTGATTAGCAGTTAATTGTTTATGAACTACTCCTCTTCCATTGTTGCCATAACTTCTAGAAAAATGATATCGTGATATTTAATTGTTTTCCCAAGCATCGTTGTTTATTAGTTTTAAATTTATGCTTCAAAGTTTTCTAAATTTGATTTTGCTTTGTTCTAAACTTAAGTTTGTACCATCTGGGAGGCTGAATTAGATGTAAATTGAGTGTGAGTTGCCACTTTTTTGTGTTGTTTAGGGGAGTAAGTATTAATTTTTAATATTTTTGTTCCTAGGTTTTGCATCTGATGAACAAAATGAATCTTCCTGCTCCATTTGGACAAATTACCCCCACCCCACCCTTTGTAAGTATCTACAGTGCTGCATGTAAGTTTCTCTTGACTCCTCTTGTGTAAAAATTATTTCTTTGACATAGAGGCTAGCGTCCAGTCTCTGTCAATTTAAGTACAATAAATTTATTAATTAGAGTTAACTACTTAAGATTCTCTTGGCTCTCCTTGTGAGAAATCATTTCTTTAATGAAGAAGTAAGAGTCCAGTCTCTGTCAATTAAAGGTTAATGAATGTATTTATTGGAACTTAATACAGCATTTGGTTGTAGGGAAAGCTTTTGGAAAGTCTGAAACTCCAAGAAGCAAACAAACAAAGAAACAAGTTTACCTCAAGGAAAAAATAGCTGTGTCAATTACTTTGAAACTCAGCAGTCATGGGCTTCCTGTTGTTTTTCAAGTTAGGTGAAGGACCAGAAGCACCGCAGGCAGCTTCATCAGATGACGACAGATCTATGTCCAGCGACGAGTCCGAATTAGAGAGCGATGAAGAAGAACGGGAGAAAAGGTTATATGTAGTTGCTGTTTTTTTGGGGAGTGGTATAACACTAAATCATGCATTTGTGTTTTGAAGCTACGCAATTTTTCACAAAAAGTCTGTTCCACACCGATAACTTGGGCCATTTGTTGGCTTGGTGATCAGAGTGATGGACTCTGAAATGAAAGATCTAAGTCAAGTCCTTAGTACATGTATACTAAGCCAATATGTTGTACCCTTGGGCAGGACATTTTGCTCTCACAGGGCTTATCTCCCTATGAGAATCAATAGGTCTTGGTGAAGCCAAAGGGAAGCGTATGAAAAAAGGGAGGGGGGTATAACCCTACAATGGAGTTGAATCCCATGCGAGGAGGTGAACATTCTCCTACACGCAAAATATTTTGGTGACTTTAGTTTCCGCTTCCTTTGGTGTTGATCTGTGGGAATTGTGGGCAAAGATGAGATGCAAACAGCAGCCAGAAGGCAATGCGCACTCTTACTAAGACATACCTCTTACCAACCGAGTTCGAGGTTCGTATTTCAAGTTATAGACCGATTTTTTTTCCGTTCGGATGTACGCCCAAGCGCGAAGTGAGCGAACAATAAATGTTAGTGGAAAAAACAAGGTTCCATAAGTTACAATACGGACCGAGAAAACGAGTTTAGTGAAAGATTAATTAAATCTCTGGGCTCAAGCAGAGGGGGAATTAAATATTGAATTTAGCGGACCGTACTGTGAAATACGGCCTGCTAAATTGACCAATCATAGCGCACGAGCTAACTGAGAAATATCATAACAATCAGTCAGAGAGCCCCTGTTTAGAGCTAAGCTAGTCGCCACAGACAATAGTTCCTTAGCGTGCGCTAGAGAAAGAACCTGTCAGAATGTACGGAGATGCGTATTTCAGTTTCTTTTGGGTCATTAAGGACTTTTTTGCAATTTTAGAGCGAAAGAAAGGGCTGAACATGCCCAAAGAATGTCTGCTTCCAAACCAGGCAAAAGTGCCCAGAAAAGACACAAAGTAAACCTTCCAACATCAAAACCACCAGCCAAGAAATTCAAGGCAAGTTCTTCAACCAAACAAATACCTGTAGAGAAAGCATTTGAACAGCCGTCCGGCCAACCAAAGAGGATTGAGTTCAAGCTCATAGAGGCCATCTCAAATATATTTGAATCTGCAGCATATACTGAGGCTACAGGTATTATGCAAGTTTCTCGTTTGATGTGTTCTAGAAGGGGATTTTTAGTGAATAAGCCCAATTATTCGATATATAGTTAAATGGTTTGAACAAGGGGGTAACATTTGATCGTGTACTCTGATCGTCCGGGTGAGAGTAGTCAGTTCTAAAAAGGACTATTTTCGATATAGTGGTGACTGACGTTTCGACAACCTGAGCGAACCACATAATGATTGGTCGTTGCGATTACTTTGGTTTCGGCTTTACGACAGTCATTCGGAATACGCTGACTAGTGGCTGCGAGTGAATTAGTCCACGATCTTTTAGTTAGCTATGAAACTACTTGATCAGAGACCCAGCAAGTCTGTTACTTGTTACATGCCCTTGACTTCCGTCCACAGCTGTTGCGCCTCCAGAGGCAGAAGGATTTGGTAGATTTGCGCCTCCAGCGGATCTTGAAGATGACAAGGATGAACTGGAAGAAGAAGAAGAAGAAGAGGAGTCTTTTTCTGAGGACAGTAGCGAATTTATCTCATCCGCCGAACTGCGCAGAAACAGAATAAGTACCAAAGGTAGAAAACTTAAGTTTTAGTCGATGTTTACACCCTCTCACTCGTGATACATGTATTGTGACGTTCATCTTTGTGAGGAGTAGTAATTTATGATAATTTAACAACCTGACATACCTTGAAATTCCAGTTGGAAAATTTGGAGGGGAGGGAACATGCCCCCTCCCGTTTTCCCCTCTCCTCCCTCCTCATCAACACTACTTCTGTAAACTCCTTCTTACGTCTCTGTGTGCCTAATGACTTCATTTTGGTTTTATTACGCAGAAATGCCGGAGATTTCTGCTTTCAAGAATTATACACCCGGAGATCCGACATGCAGGCTTTACATTAAAAATCTGGCAAAAACAGTCGAAGAGAAGGTAAGGGATTCGCCTGTTCATTAAAGTTGATATTTATGGGCATTTATCGCCACTTTTAATCAAGCACGCTCATGAATTGCC